TACACCACTGTAGACGGCGAAAAAAAGCGTTTTCTTTGCGATTTTTTTTTTGTAGAAGGAAAAGTAGGAGGATAATTCTTTTCAAGGATATTATTAGGCATCTTTTGAAGTTTACAAAAAAATTTTTTTTATTAAAAAAAGTTACAAAATGGCGGCGTAAGAGCAACTCTTCTTAGACTGTTTTTTTTTTAAGGGCTCCACTGCAAGCAGTACACAGGGTTGAAAAATGAATCTGGAGCAAAATAAAAAATTTTTTCTTAATTTACATTAGAATAGCTACAGAAATACGTAGCCGATTTTGAAAATATTTATTTTTGTTAAATTGGCTAGCATTCAAAGTTAAAAGTCAAATTTTTGACCAAAAAATGAGTACTTATTTGTGTCTAAAAAATCGAAATTTTAACATATCAAAAATCGGCTACGTATTTCTGTGCGGAATGTTGTTTTAAATATGAGATATAAATCTGAGGTGAAAAAAATGAAAATTGTTCGAGTTATGCTGCTTGCAGATTTGAAAAATCGTGTTTCGAGATAAAAGCGTTTAAAGATTTGACATGTGTTTTGAACATGAAAAAATGACAAATTAAAATAATAATAATTTTTTACCTTTAGTCTGCAATGCCAGGACCGTAAAGTTGCCCTTCCAGACTTTCGTACATGTCCTCGTTTTCTTTTCTGGACGATTTTATGGCGGAGCGAGCCTTTTTCGCTGCGTCGGTCAGAGACTGCTCGGCACGTTGAATTCGAGCAGCATCAGCTTCTAAGCAAAAGTTGTAGGACTGAGGTCCGATGCTCATACCCATCACTTCCATAATTTTTAGAACGCTGCTTAATCCATCATTAAAATTGCAAACAGCAATGTTACTCGCTATTTGCAAAACTTTCTTTCCACTTGAATATGCTTTTGGAGCCAATTGCCAGACTGTCGCATTGAAACTTTCGTTACAGTTTTGCGTGAATCCTCCTAAACAACGATTTAGTAAGTCGTCACGACTCAAATCCTCATATATCGGCTTGATAGATTGAAAAACAAAGTCTGTTAGTGGTGGCTTGTGTTGAAAGGAGTCTAAAGAACCAGCTGCTTCTGCCTTCTTCCATTCACACCAAGACTCTGAGCACTTCTCGTGCTGCGGATTTTCGTCTGTTGATATTTTATGATATAAAGTCGCCCATATATCATTTCTCATTTTTTCTAAGGAGTTCGGATTCCTTCGAATTGCCAAGCCGTAATAAATTGTCAATTGATCAATTACTTTGTCAGTTAATTTACCTTTACCTTTTCCTCCAAGTCCCTTGACAGTTTTCTTTAATTTTCTCAATCGAGTGCCCATTCTTTTTTGAACGTGATCAATACATTCTCTCTTTGTCACTAGCAAATTTTCGTATGGTTGTACATCCAATATGCCCTTGAAGGTTTTGCTGTCACCATCACCAATGTAGTTCGCGTATTGAAGGCCGTGTAAGGCTTCAGATCGTTGGAACATTTCGACGACAGCGTCTACCTCCATTTTACCTGATGAACCTTCGTGATTTGCTTGACATTGATCAGCATGAGTTTCGAACCATTCTCCATATTCAGCAGTGTCTAATTTATTCTTCCAGTGCTCGCAGGCTTTGCAGTATTTCGACTTCACTTCTATATCCAGAATTTTACCTGTAAACCACCCAATCAAAGACGTAACTCCAAAAAGCGACGAAAAACCACGTTTTCTCCAGGAACCATCTCCGGATACAGATATCCCTGTATTTAGTCGATTTTCTTCTGTTTGCTTCTTCTCATCTTCTGCTGCCCTCTTCATACTGAACTCTCTCACAGTTTCCGTTGCGATAAAAATTATATCCACTATACGATTATAAAAAGATTGAAATATCGGGCGCGGCAACTCCATAAATGCACAAAACTTCATCGTTCCAGCTAGCCCCACTCCTAACATTCGCATTGCTAGAATAATCCTACGGTTGATTTCATATCCATTTCGTATAAATGAACTACTTGGGATTTCAATTTTTGGACAGTTCGGACAAGAAATAATTAGTTTGAAGCCTAAGCCCCGCGCACTTGATTCGAGAAATTTCACATCAGAGTTACACGTTTTGCACTTCACGTAATCCGAAATGGCAGAAAAAACAGCACAAAAGTTTATAATTCTGTAACTAAATTCATTTTGCACTTCAACATCAACATCAGTCTGTTTTAATTTCTTCGCAGAAGCACTGACACCTTCCGTATCTCCTTCATGTTCATATTTGTTCAACGGTCGTCGTTTCCTCACATTACTCCGTCGGCGCGAAATAAACGATGCTCTTGTGCCTTTTTTATCAGTGTATACTTTTTTATCACTCATTGTAATAGTCACTAATGTCTAAGCTAAAGGTCAGAAAGAAAAAAAAATCAACACTGCAAAATCAAATTGTATTTTCAACGAACTTCTACGCAAAATTCACGTTTTGTTGACATCAAATGACGCTATAATCAGCTGTCCTCAGCTGTACTGACTTCAGCTCAATGTCAAATACTTCTAATGACATCTATTGACGCATTAGAGAAGTTAGAAACTAAATGATAAGGCGGTGTACTGTACCCGACGAGCAGGTAACAACTTTACCGCACGGGTCATTTTGGAACAGCCGGCATGGTTCGGAGAAGGGCGCGAAATTTCATGGAAAAAATATTCGGATCGGTATGAAACCTTCTGCCTTTTATTCTAGAGGGTTCAAAGGAATTTTTAAGCCAATAAAAAAATTTTCGATTTTTTGAAAATTCTACAGTGGTGTAACCCC